GGCCGTTATATCAATGTGGCATCCCCAAAATTTCCAAAGGTCCTTTTCATGTCGCCCCCCCCCCCAAAAAAAAAAAAGCAGCTCCCAAAAATATGTTGAGAACCCTCAAGATGCACCAATTCGTCACCCTCTCGCAGGTCACTAGGCCCCAGACCACCACTGGGCCTGTGGAAAGAGAAGAAGGCGGAGTCCTGGTGCCTGCGATGCATGGGGCCCTGGGGTGGATGAGGGCTCAAGGGGATTGATATCAACATGCTTTTTATAACATACAATATGAATTCGGGGCCCTAGGGTGGACATCGTTTAGGTGGGGATTGATGTCCACCGATCATTTAGGAGGGCAACAAGCCCATTTTGCAAGATTCCGTGGCGGCAGAATCAAAATAAGTGCCATCCCGCAAAGGAAAATGACCCAGTTGCCCTGTTTACTCTGGTACAAAAAAAAAAAACAAACCTTCTCTCGATTGACAATTTCTTGTGCCCGGACCAAGCAAGCAACATGCGGGGCGGGGGGGGGGGTTAGGAGGGATGGGTAGTCATGGTCTCCAATAGCTTTGATCTCTGCAAGAAACTGTTGATATTCCAATCATTCCATGCTGCTCCAACGATACCGCATCAAAAAGCTTTCCAAAGAACCCGCTTCGCCGTTCCACCGGCCAATTCGAATTGATCATGCCATCCCACGCGCCTGGGCTCACTGTAAACACCTGAGCGCAGCAACACCCACTTGCGGGGGGAACACTTGCAAGTGATTTCCTCGAGCGCTACACAACAAACGCCTTCATGCTTTTGTTTTTTTTGTCAACCTTGAGTCGGCATAGGCCAAAACGAGCTTTAGCCGAAAACAGAACAGGTTTGATTTAACTCGGGAAAGTGACAATCCATGCCTTGCGGCTGTGTGGGGGGGGGGGGGGGGCAAATCAAGCCCCCGACGGACATGCCTTACAAACCACAAAGAAAGCATCCCCACCCCCGGAGGGAAATGGTATGCTCCCCTTTTCCCAAGCTCGACAAAAAAAGGCCCCCCCCCTCATGGATGTGCACCTTCTCCCTCCTAGCTGCTACATCAGGATCTGGAAAGAATAAAACAGTTACACATCCCATTGTTGAAAGGCCATCACACATTCAATCTGGGCCAAATTGTTGAGCCCTCAAATTAAGTAGCGGAGAATTCGCTTTGGAAGGACCATGTGCACGTGGGATGCACCCTGCCTGATTGTGGTAGAGCAGGAGCCCGATGATCAGGCTGAAGCGCCTGCGGTGATGGCATTGCCGAGCATTCAGATTGTCCACTTGTTTGTTGTTTTGCTTCCTTTTTTCTTTGCTTTCTTTGTGTTTATCCTGTTTGCGTTTCTTTGCCTTTTGTTTTGCCTACTCCTTGACACCATTCAGCACATTAATTGACCAAAGGGTTCCCCAAAGCAGTCCTTCAAGGAACTCAGAACCCAGCGGGGCAAGGGGAGGGGAAGGCCAACAAACATAAGGCCTGAGCTTCTCCTTGTCGAGACCCAAACCCTGCCAGTCTGGAAGCCTATATAACTCTGCTCACATAGGTCTACGGCTAGGTGACGTCCTCAAAAATCGTATCAGCGCCCCTCAAAATCTTCCGAAAAGTTCGCTTTGATGGGACGCATGAGCCACGGCCACGGCCACAAAGAATGAGAGTGGCCCTGTTTTTTTCGGCAAATTCGGCGAGTCCCCCGTGTGTTTTAAAGCAAAGTCGCTTCGCCGTGCAGTTGGTGCATCCAGATCCCGTGCCTCGCCGCGCGTGTCCCTCTCTTTGCATTTGCCATGGCCCTCCCTGCAGCCAAATGCGGCGAAGGTGACCTGGGGATGGATATGCGATTTCTGGAGGTCAATTCATTGCGGGGTCTGTTTCTCCAAAAACCAACAACAAGTCCCCCGTTGTTTCTCCCTTTTGATTCGCAATTTTGGGCTACATCGTCCCCCAAACTTTATGTGGACATGGCATGGACTCTTTGTCACATCATTGGCATTGGAATTCATGTTGTTCCTCAACCATTTTTTGGGCCTTCCGCCCAGGCAATACGCTCTCTGACATGCGCATCTGTGGCATGCATCTGCACTTTGCTGCGTATCAAGGGCAATTGCGTGTTTTTAGCAACCAGACCATCCCCCTTGACACTGGTGGTCACCGACCTGCGCAGTGGCAAACGGTGTATATGTGCTATGGCCAAACTTGCCACACCCGGAGCACGTGGCCCAGGACACAGCACTCTATTAGGATATTTTCTCTCGGGGATGAAGCGGCACAATCTGGCGACGTACCAGAAAGCAGCTGACCCAAGGTGTTTTAGCCACAGCTGGGTCGTCCCCGGAAGCCCGTCAAAGTTGACCGCTTTGCGCCAGGCTGCACTAGCGAACAGCGGTTTGCCGCATTGGGCTAGCAGGACACGGCGGAATAGTGCAACTCCCCTGCCCTCGCCAATGGGTTGCTGGCAATGGAATAAAATCAAGGCCTTTCATCCCAGATTCTCATGGGGATTTGAGCCTCACTTGCCAAAGCGCTCGATGTTTACCACAAACATTCTGGCGTGGCAATTTTGGCCCGGCACACTGGTCCAAAATGTAGCACTTGGGGGAACGCATGCCGAGCAATCGGTCTGCGCGCGCCCAACTTGCATGCCAGCCGCAACCGAACATCTCGGGCCGTGCATCTCACTTGGAACCTCAGAGCTTCAGACATCTCAACCGGAAGCTGTGAATATGTTGGGAAGGCCAACGTTTTGCACCATGCCCATTCTATAACGAGCCACATGATACCAAGTATATACGCAGCATAGGCATGTACATGCATACATATATATATATAGACTCCTGCATATCCCAAGTGTGCAAAAATTGTGCAATTTGGAAAAAAACACATTATTTTTCAGTCTGGGAGCAAGTATTTCCAGTTGTATTTGGGAAAAATGAACTTTTGCAAGATCAAGCTGGTCAACTGATGCTTTCCAACGGCGATCTTCTGCACAATCAAACGGCGTGTTTGCCAATCAAACGGCATTCTTTGCCGTTCACATTTTTGTTGAGTATGCATGAATTGCTCCAACGGAGTTTTTGGGGACCAAACACGTTCATTTGCAGCAGCGGCGAACATTAGTGCAATCTCAATCAGTGGCGGAAATTCGGCGCCCCTGGGATTTCTAGGTATGTGGGGTTTCATGGGTTTTCGGTTTCTTCGGGTACACCTTCAAGGATACTCAGCAGTCCTGGTTCAGACTTAGGGCTATGACGGTTCAGACTTAGCACTATGACTAAGCGCGAAAAACCTATCGCCTTTCCATTCCGCAGGGTTGGCCAACCCAAAACCCGCTCCAGCCACAAAACAACAGGGATCATTTTCTTCACAACCCAAGGATCTTGCGCAGAGTTACGATCGAACCGCCGATCAGAAAAACGGAAACTGGTCACCAACGATTCTCTTCTAAAGTGGAATTTATCATCTCTAAGAGAGGCCAAAGCCGCAATTCTGTAGATTGCCGAGATGAGCAGCCCAGAACCGGCCGAGAGATTTGGCTTGTAGAACATAAAAAGGAAGGATCCTGCAGACCACCCCTTCAAAGATCCTACACCCCCCCCTCGGAAAGCCCAACTTCAAAGGGCCCAGCGAGGGAAGTAGAGTCCCTGTTCTTGTTGTTTCTTTCCAAGGGCCTTTCCCCAAAGTCAGTTCTAAATGATACCCCTACAACCCCCTACCAAAGTTTAAACAAACAAACCCGAAACAGATGCTGACAGATAACATATTACATAGCAAATTGACTATGATGACTATGTTTCCACTCGGCACAGTGACGACCCCCATTTGTACGTGGTACAGCCCACTTCTGGACTTCACGCTGATTCCGCACTTAAATTGGGAAGCTCCAAAGTAGACAAGCACTCGTTCCCACAACCCCTCTCAGATGTGGAGGACTCTTGCCAATAAGATGCCGCTGCCAAACATCAGCAACCAGACTTGCAAATGGTTCGGACCAACTTCTCTTTTCTGCGAAAGCTCCCAGTGAGCGGCTCTAGCGGCTCTAGCGGCTCTAGCGGCTGGTGAAGCCACAAGGGTTGCTGCAAAGAAATATGCTGAAACGCTCAAGGCTCCCAAAGGGCACCCCTATACATGGGCTGGCTCCTTTGCGGGTGTTCAGTGCACTTGTGCTTCTTGATAGTCAGCCCCTTTTTCTTAGGTGTTGTGAGTGACACACAGACACAAGTGCAGCCGCTCAAGGAAGACATGGAACCCCCAAAGAACGGTCCAAAGCCATTTTCAGGGGGAACTTTCCTGGCGAAAAGTCGAAACAAAACCCCGCAACCCTGCCCAAAGGGTGCTGGCGGATACCCGGAGAGTTTCCTCACATGTCCACTACAACAAGATGCGTGCGCAGTCAAAATCGACTCGTTGAATGGCACTCGATGTCGTCAGGGTACCAACAGGGTCCGTTTGGGGGACCTCGTCAAGTCACGATTTGCTCCTGCACCCATGACTTAATGTGTATTGAAAAGTAGCCCATAACCCCATGGTAGTCTCCTGAGTGCATTGGTCAGAAAGCCTCCACACTTTTTAAACCACCAAGCAGATCTTCCCAAAATGTGTAAAGTCCAGAAGCTGGTGAAGTAAGTAGAAGGTAGATGAGAACCCTTGACTCAAGCCGAGGCCGAGTATGATACAAGCGGTGAGACGATCTGCCTGCCGAACCATCGGATGCTGAGGCTGGAGTTGCAAATGAGCTTCCTGTTGAACGGCATATCCCTCGCCGTGACTACCCGAAAGGCCGAGGACATATTCCATAGGCGCCTTCGAAATACGACCCGTTGGAGAAGTCAAAAGCTTCTCCGTGCAAAGAGTCGGGATTGTTCCATGGTTGTAGGAAAGAACCCTTTCCGCAATGATCACCTCAGAGCAGGCCATTCATCAGACTGAATTGCCTTGGTACAGAAAAAAGTAGCCTCATTTCCCACAGCCATGAGTCTATCTGTGAAAGGCCCCACCCTCAATCACAGGCCTGGCCACGCGTGGGCAAACCCGCATCCAGTCATTTTTGTCTTTTGCATTTCGAGGGAGGATATATGGGCAAGGGTCCTTTCTTCCCCCCCCCTTCCGCCCTACCTAACATTCCTAGGGGGGGGAACTAAACTGGGTTCCCGTTGTCGCCGCCGTTGCGCTAGCTTTCGTGGAAGCCACACACCTCAGTGGTTGTTTGGTTGATCCCTTGCTACAAGCAATGCCAAAGTGGGAAACTTGATATGCCATGTCAGTCATTATCACCCACTTGTCCGTTCTAGCTATTTGGGCCATCAGTATTTTCGAGCTCATCACCCGTCTTGCTGATGGCACTGTCACACCTCTTCTGACATGAACACTCGAAAATGCCGACACGAGCAACAATAGCGGACCACCCAAACCGGTATCCATCCACCCAAACGGAGAGGAGCTCATCCGCCCCCCCCCCCCCCCCCTCTCCTGGAAACCAATCAGAAAACACTTCAGAGGAAATCGAAGGCCCTCACACAGCTTGCCTTCTTAGAAGGGATTCTTCAAAGGACTCCGAGAAGATTTCTGGTCGGAGGGGGCTCTAGTGTCCCGCTTCACTGAAAGCATAAAACCAAGCATTTTCGGGGGTTCCCCTGTTTGAGCTTTTTCACCAGGGCCCCATAAAGCATCAACGAGCACCAGGACGGCCGGAAAAGTGGCTGATCATCTTTCAGGAACGGCCCAACGTTTCCCAACCACTGGGACCGAGACCTGCATGATGAGGCAGTGCAGGGCTGTGCGGAAGTTCTGCTTCGGCGCCTGACGGCCCGAAGACATTGTCCCATTTCTTGGGGAGGGAGTACCCAGGTCTAAACACACTTTGTACGTGCCCCTGCCTAAGCTTCCCGACCATATGGGGCATAAGGACCAGGATTTGTTCTGTTGTAAAATATCGAAGCAAATGACCATAAGTCCCAACTAGACAACTTGTTTGTTAGCATGTCAAGCGCTTGCAAGCCCTACCCTATCCCAGGCGGCAGTGCTGAAGATCTCAAAAACCGTGTGATTTGGCTGGTCAAGCGTGTTTCTTGCATGTCATGCGCCAACAATGAACATTGTCCAGGACAAACAGGTACTTCAATGGCTACGCCCCCCACACACCAACAAGTAAGCTGAACTTTCCTCCTCAAGGGGCCTTTGAGGTAGGAAGTTGGATGGGAAAACCATGGGAGGTCGGGTGCTTCAAGAGTGACCTAACCAATCAACGGGCGCCAGGATTTGCCATCCATTTTAAGTGCTCCACATAAATGCGGAATCACACAAATCTGGACCTGCGAGTCAGGACTAAAGCTCCCAATCCCTGGCCATGGCCCATAAGGCCTCAAAGCGGTGTTGTCGGTATGGCGCAAGCAAGGAACCATCCACACGGCCCCCACGCGAGAGACGGACCTGTTTATGCAGCGAACAGTGAAACGAAACGGAAATCGGTATGGGGCAGAGCTACCACGAGCGGCAAGCCCATTTGCGGGAGCGCCAGGGCAGAACATCAAGAGACAAGTGCTCTTGCGTCGCACAAGGAGTTCAGCTTCGCGCAAGACCGCTGAGTTCAAAATTGCAAAAGTGACAGCAGACTGCACAAGCTCGTGGTGAACACCGCTTGCTCCTTCAGATTGGCACTGTGCGCATCAGAGATTCGTGGGTCATGGGATAGATGGCTGCAAGAAAAAACTCCAGATGATCTAGACGCAACTCACCACGGGCCCCCCTCATCAAATGCTGTACGCATAGGGCAAAATTCCCCGCAACAAAGACCTGAAGGATGTCTGGCTCCAAGCATGGGGCAGCATTAGCAAGGTAAAGGGTTCAGATCTGACGCACTGAGCCCTTTCCCCAAGAGTCGGCAACCTGACAAAATGCAGTGCATCATGGTTCAATAATTATATTTGGTCGGGGCTCAATTTTTGCATATTAAATTCCAATGCCAGCTTGCAACTTTCCTTTGGCTGACCCAACGGTTTAGCATAGGGTCGAAGATTGGGTCGGATTGGGGTCCCCGTCACCTAGGGCTACAATCCTCTATGATGGGATATTTCCGACTTTTGAGCTCAGGCGCCCCCAGCCCCGACGAGCTTGCCAAGAGACAGTCTTCTGGGGTTAACTATATGGCGATTTAGCCCTAGTTACAGCGGTAAGGGCGGGAGAGTGAATCGCGGGTTTCTAGCCAATGCAAATCATGGCTTCTGAAGGTGGTAAATATCACCCAAAGAAGGACATTGTACTACAAAGAGCTGACCTTGCAGCCAACCCTTTTTGTCAAGTAAGGAAGAACACAGTGGCAGGGAGGTCTGTGCAGAATCGTTCTGAAAAGCTTTGTCCCAAATCAGAAATCCAGGGCGGGCAGAACAGAACTTTTTGAGAGGAAGCCAGACTCAGACTAGAGGACACGATCATCTCGATTAGGAGAACAAGCGGCAGCGTCAGCATCCTTCTCAGCAAGACGTGCCACCCCAAGTCGTGACAAATCCGACATAAGCGAGCAGTCGCAAAACACGTCCCACAAAGGGCAACGCGCTGGAAAACGCAGTGGTTGCTGCGCGGCAACCATCGTCTGTCTGGAGGGACGGGCGACGCGCTACGAGAATCTGCCCAAAGCCATCATGCCCTTCGAAGTGGTGGGGGGGCCGTCAGGACAAGAGGCAACCTCACAAGCAGGATCCCGCTGGGCTGTCGCAGCAAGGCAGAGACGGTCACAAAGGTCAGCAATTGTGGGTAAGGCCTGACGGGTGCTGGCGGTAGGAACCAGGTAGCCCCAATAGGCACCACGAGTGCCACACACTCCGAAGAGCAAATACCGAATGATCAGTGCGAGATTCAGGTGGACACCTCTGGCGCCTAAGCCCTAAGCTACCTGGGCGGTTTGAGTCTCAGGAAACCTTTCATTCGCTCGTTTGCTTACTTCCATTGCTTAAGTCCCCGGGAAATAAATAAATACTTCCAGTAGTGATAGCTTCCCTTTAAAACCAACAGGGGAACAAACAAAAAAGTCTCAAGCCAATGGAAGCTCCATGTTTTGCGGTGAAATCAACAACCCCTGCGACGCGAAACGACACGCCTGCAGGGTCAGAGTTCGGCATGGCATGGGGTCGGTGATGGTGATGCTGCTGGACACCTTCCGGCTGTCTCAAAAGCCATGAGCAACCTGGGCTCACGCCACGTATCTTTCCCCAACGCCCTGAAAGGACCCTGTGTCTGGCTTCCTTCCATGAATTCGGGGAGTAATTTCCCTACAAGGAAGCTACAACTGGTCGCGGTTCCCTACCAGGGACCGCGTTTGGATGCTTTCTTTTGGATGCGTTGTTTGTGTCCTTTGTCGTCCTTCCACAAGAAGCTGTGTGCTAAATACCCCACAAGTTTGTGCTTCTATATGTCCATGGGTCAAAATCCCGTACCCCCAGTCAACATCCCAATCCCCACTAAAACAGGTTCTAAAATGGGTGGTGAATTCACCTACCAACCAAAATGGGATGCCATTGGCTTTGACCCACCGCCATATTTCCCAGAACCCCAACATCCAACCCCAATCAACCTCCAGAGGAAACCTGGAGTTGACCCATGTAGGATCCCAGCCCACCTCTTCTAGTTTCCCTTCCGCCTTGTTGCCCTAATAAGCTTTGAATAGGGCACTATAAATAAATAAATATATATATATAAGACCCTACCAGCTCTTACCAGGGTCCTGACATGGAAATCAAACCTTGATTCGTTGAACACCGGCACGACTAACCTGTCAGCACGACTAACCTGTTTTGCTTCTGGATCTCAGTCCGCCTTTTTGAAAACCTTGACTACCAAGCCTGGGCCGCCAAAAGGTCAGATCAAACGGTCCATGTGTTTTGGGTCTTGTGCCGAAACTGAACTTGCAACGTGGGAGTGGAAATCCAAAACTAGCGCAACCAACTCAACCCACTCAACCCATAGAAACGACATCTATCAAATGAAGCCTAATGCTCTCTAACCAGCAAAACGCTTTAAGTCCGTCAGAGAGAGAGAGAGAGAGAGAGAGAGAGAGAGAGAGAGAGAGATGGACCGAAAGCCGGCAGCATGCGGCTGCTCAAGGCGGGAATACCCCCTGCCGCGCCCCAAACATGTGCAACATGCACTCGACGCTCTGAAGCCGCACTGAGTTTCCAGCTTTGGTGCCCACAAAAAATGTCACCCAAGGTAGGAACCGCGAAGCCGAGGCGGGACGCTCCGCCTCCAGGCCACCGTACTGCTGCAGCTGAAAGAGATCCACCTGGCTCGTTTTTTGGGAAACGTGGGGTCGGGTCAAACCGCTTTGGCGGACCAACAGCTGTTCACACATCTGCGCCGATCTGCAACTGTTACAATCAATTCCGAAACCTGAATTACAGTAAGTGATCCCTAAGCAAAGAACCTACGTAATGGTGAGTTCAGTTTGTTCCCAGGTCAGGTGAGAAAGTCATGAATTAGGCAGACTAATCGCTACAACTTGCAAAGCTGGAATCTTCATGGGCGTGGTGGCTGGTACTGAGCCCGCTCGTGCAAACGCATCGGCCGAACATGCTGTCTATAGCTACCTCAGCTTTTGCCCCCCAACCAATCTTTGTTAGTCTTGTTCGGCCCTGTGCCTAGTGAACCTGAAAGTACAACGCAATTTCAAAGGAGATGCTATCTACCCGAACCAGCCTGAGCAACCCCTGAGCCTTGCTTGCACCCTGGCTGCATTTCTCAACGTGGCCCTGCCCTGCCTCATAGCAGGTATCATGGTTACATCAAGACGCATGAGAGTATCTTCCAGAGGTAGCCCACGGGACGGTTCAGCCCCTGGATGATAATTTGCAAACCAGAAATAGAGAATCCGCAGGAGATCTTCACACAGGTGAGCTCCTTTTGCCCCTTTGGTCTTAAGAAACCTGACAAGCACAGGAAACGGGACATTTGTTGTTAAGATACATTGAGACATAAGTGGCAGTTGATCAATATTCCTGTTTCCGGAAAACGCCATCTTCGCGAGAAAAAAAGTTTCTTTCGCGAATCTTTCGCGACTCCATCGCCACGCCCTTTTGTTTGCAGCGTGCGCTCTGGAGCCATTGTGGCTGCTGCAGTTGTGCTTGCAAACACGGTAGTCGCAGTTCACTTGCGTGCAGTACGTAGAGTCAAGTGCAGGCAGTCACCGTCGTTCGCCCTTGCCACTTGCGGTTGCCGGCGATGTGCGGAACCTTGCAACAAGCTCCCTGGTCTTTCGCCGGTCTTTCGCGGATCTTTCGCGAAACTTGCTCCAAAATAGCCCAGCCAACGTTATTGATTTGCACCAATCCCAACACAGGCAGGGAATCAATAATGCAAGTGTAGGTGCTGCGTATCTCCCTCGCTACAAGGGAGCGGGGTCTGCAAATATGTAAGTGCACAGGCAGGCCTCCAAGAATTCAACGCGGAATCTTTCGCGAAAAAATAAGTTTCTTTCGCGAACTCCATCGCCGATCTTTCGCGGAGGGATTTAAGCCAAAACGAATGGTCACCGAATACATAACTCCTTGCAAGGACCTTTTGATCAACCCCCAAGTATCTAAGCCCCATCTCCTCACGCTTCTTCCAGCCGCTTCCCATGCGTGTTTAAAAGGAGCGTGTTTAAAAGGAAGACCCATGATGGCAATTTCTCCATGCGCTTGAACCAAACCACAGCCTTCCAGAGGCGGCTCTCCGGCAGAAGCAGGTTGACGCATAACCTCGGCTTTGGCTATCGTTAAGTTGCCAAGGGAATCGACGCCGTGACCACCCTCCCACCAACTAACAAAGAGGGTGTTGTTTTTATGTTTATTTTATTTGTTTTATTTATTTTTTTCCGTGGTGCGCAGCCCTCTCATATACAATATTGCTCTAAACATGTGGGAAGAGTCCAGGGGCTAAACATCCAGCAATCCCATAATTGAGGATTCTCAGCTTGATCAATAGGAGAGCTTCTTTTACCAAAAGGGGTCCTGGCCCACTTTTGGGAGAACGCTCCCCCAGATCAACTTGATGCATTTCTGTTGAACACTGGCTAAGATGCCAACAAGACAAGAGCATATTCCACAGAGGCGCTTGCCACAGCATTCATCTCAAACACTGCAAACCCAGGTCAGTAGAGTCCTAGCCACGTTTCTCAATTCAGCGCCATGTTTGCCATGGCTAATTCAGAACCCTCGATCGAGGGCTGCTCCAAAGTCCCGATCGGAAGGGACGCTTCTTTCCCTGGACAAAAGGAAGCCAAAGGCAAACAAGCGCGGGTCTAACTGTCAGAACAAGTGACACCGCAAATAGGTTGAAAGGAAAACAACCCCAGATGCCGACTTTGACATTTGCAAACTAGCCCCCAGAAACAGTCAACATGAAGACCCGTACACTATTCACACACAGAATAAGGACTCTTCGTTTCCTCAGATTGGTGAGCTCATTGAAGTCCCATGATCCTCAAACTTCTGGTCTCTAAATGTTGTGGCCCCCGAAAAGCGATTTGAAGAACCCCTCGCAACCACTTTACAGCACCCAAAATGACCCTTGTTCAGCTCAAGCGTCTTTTGCTCCAGCAAACCAAGCCCCCCATATCCGCGTCGAGCTGCGTCTCTTGGCCCTTGCCGTCCCCTCGCCGTAGGGAAAGGGCGTTGATCGTCTCCACCACCTGATTTGGCAAGCACCCGCTGGGACAACGAGCGCGTATCTACTTGACTGGGCTGCCCATTTTCTGATCCCCCGCTAAAAGTGACTCACTTTTAGTCGGTTAAATGGAAACTACTACTAAACACTAAAAGGCTAAGCAGCCAAGGGGATGGCTGGGAGCCACCAAGTTGATTGAGAAGGGGCAAAAGGAACACAGCCACTTTTGAGTGTCCAACTTACTTTAGGCCACTGGTAAAATGGGCAGGTCAGCTGTTTGGGGCTGCACCTGGGCTATCACTGGGGGGGTTGAACGCCACCCACCGCCTTGCATGTTTCGATGCCAGGACATATCAGATGTGTAAATGGCAATTTACTCCGAAGAACCAGGAATTCCAATCATCTCAAACGCCGCTGCAAAGCCTGGGGGCCTGATGTCATCCCAATAGCTCGTGGAATGGTGGGGTTGGCATGAAACTCCTGGGAATCCTCTGGGATCAGGTGCTCCTTTGATTACGAAACATCTAAGCCTCTTGCAAGAACTGTAATTACCTGAGCCTGTCGCCCTTCATTCGTACATACTTCATCACACTTTAAAGGCTTGGAGTGTTTGCGGAACGGCGAAGGGTGTTCCTGCAGTGTCCCATTAAACTGAGGGTCCGAACAAGTCTACGGGGCAGTGATTGCGTACTGAAACCAGGCAAACGCACGTAGTGGTTTGCTCCCCCAACGGAAATGAACCATGTGCCTGAGATGAACCGGCGGGATCTTTCTGAACGATACTCTGTAGTGCCAGGTATATAACTAATGACAGCAAGGCCCCCTCAAACAACGACATGGGGAGTTGTTAGAGACGACCGCCAAAACCAAAAATGCCATCCAGTAAGTGTCAATTTGTATTGGTCTAGAGTTGCTTTAGCATTGAGGAAAGATCCCGACCAAATTTTCGCTGTCTGCAAAACATACTGAATACTGAACACCTTTCCCCACTTCGGGAATTTAAAACATGTTTGATGCCCCGTAGGTCCCAGTTCTTTTTGTGTTTTCCCAGTTTCGCCTGTGCACTTGACAGGTCTGAGCCTTTTGACAAAAGATCTAATATGCCAAATGATAGCGTCCTGCTGCGGCATCCTACCGGCATAGACATCTTGTGGATTGAGTTTAAACAATCCAGATCCAATAAAACAACATACCATCTCAGATAGGGATCGTGCAGATTCAGTGTTAACACCCCAGTTAAAACCGCTCATTTTACCATCTCGCACAAGCATCTTGCGGATTCATTTGGCATAAGTAAGGGTCTTGCAAACAGAGTTTTGAACCACCTATCGTCCAGCATAGGGATCCTGCGGCTTGAGTTTGAACAACTCATTTCTTGAATGTACATATTATGATTGATATCATTACTAGTTTTCTTCGTATACTATCAGATGCTATCATATCATAACATTCCATGAACTGATTATGTGGGTCATTCTTGTACTATCGTACGTAAAATTGTACATACTACAACACACACACAAACACACAAACAAACAAACAAACAAACAAGCAAGCAAGCAAGCAAGCAAGCAAGCAAGCAAGCAAACACACACACACACACACCCACACACACACACACACACACACACACACACACACACACAGCACACACACACACACACACACACGCACACACACACACACACACACACACACACACACACACACACACACACACACACACACACACACACACACACACACACACACACACACACACACACACACACACGCACGCACGCACGCACGCACGCACGCACGCACGCACGCACGCACGCACGCACGCACGCGCACGCGCTCACGCACACCTACACGCACACGCACACACACACACACCCACCCACCCACCCACGCACGCCTGCACGCACGCACGCACGCACCCACCCACGCACGCACGCACGCACGCACCCACCCACCCACCCACCCACCCACCCACTCACACGCACACGCACACGCACACGCACACGCACACGCACACGCACACACACACACACACAAACACACACACCCGCTTGACCCACGTACGGATGAAATCCGCTTGCCAAACGAGCGTCTGCAGGTGCCCGGCCCCAGATCTCAAAGAGGAGGAAAGGCAAGTCGCTCAAAGCTCCGTCCATCTGACACCACTGGTATGCGCGGATGCTCACCTACCCAGGCAAGGAGGCTGGGTAAAAACAACATTGGGATGAGGCAAAAACAAAATCCAGGGGTCGCTTGATGTTCCCTGCAACCTACAGGTGAAAGCCCTAAAAATAACCAACATGAAACCACCATAAGGGGAGTTGTGCCCCAATGTTGGACTATGGCTTGCCACGTACAGATGGTTGTGGAAACTAAGCGTTTCTGCAACGTCAAAGTGGTTTGTGCCAATGTCACTTAAACAAACTTAAAAGGATCTTACCTTGGCCACTCATAGGACGTATTGACAATGAAAGCTGATGCCAACATGACAACCCGGAAAAAACAAAAGAGCGCTGGATAGACTCGGATAAACAGTATTGCCACGCAAGCAGGTTTGGTCAATTGGAAGCAAAGAGGGGCAATGCAAAAAGCGTCCTTGTATTTTAATCACCCTACTTGCCGGCCACAGTATCTGCTTTCTTATAAGAATCCGGGAAGTAAGAGTAGTCTCAGTTTCCCAGTCGTCCAGAAGCACCCAATGTGTCTCTCTTTGCAGACTGGTTTCCATCTGGGTTGAATCAGCAGCAACACGAGTCCCCCGCCCTCCCAACTGCTACTTGACCACAAGCTATGCCATATGGGCATGTTGATCAACCACTTATGGGTCCTGATGACTTCCGATGGCTGCTGGTTGCCAGCAAAGGTGTTCTGGTCTGAGTGCTCAGGTCGTGGCTGATCACTGCTGTGTTTTGGCAAGGGTCGGAACTACAATGCACGTCTGCAATGCTGTTTCTCAAGAGGTAGATCCTTGGATGTTTGGTGATCTCAGCATTGGTTCGTCACAAGAAACGCACTACCGCCCTTCACATGCTTCTCGCTGAGCTGTTCTCACATAGTGGCGTAGGTTCCCGGCCCGGGCTGATGATTTTTCAGAGTCTTTGGTTTGTGCGCAATAGTTGTTGGAAAAAATACACCTAGGTGACCTTCCTACAAGGTGATTGGCTACATTGACGTTCTCATTTCATGCACAAAGTTGCCTGACGGCATCACACGACCAGTTCTATCCAGCCCTACTCTTCGTGAAAGGAAACACAAGTAAATGTAGATCAAATGAGGGAGGACTAAAGGGCTAAATCCGGTGGATTCGCTTTGGGCAAGTGACTCTGTGAGCCCCCCGCACCTCCTACTTCATCTCTTGCCAGCGAACAATAATATGTCTAGGTTCTGGCAAACATATTGTTCGAACCTCGCTTCCTGAGTTGACTTCCCAAACAAAGTCTGAACGGCTTCTTCCCGATTGAAACTGTCTTCCCGAAACGTATGAAGTCTGTCAAAAGTGGAAAGCTGTGCAAAACATTCCGGAGGCCCCTGCCTCCCCACCATCAAGGTCGCTAGTCGCTAAGACTCTGGCAGCTAGGAAGTCGGACCCTAGGGAGATGAAAGGGAACCCCAAAAACGCTCCGCCCTTGAACTATAGCAGGAGGAGCCCCGATTTCCTACTGGCCGTTGAAAGCATCAGGCCTGCATGGTGCTTTCGAAGTCTGCCAGGCCGTCGCCATCCTCCCCAAAGAGTTCCTGGAGAGAGAGGCTTGCGGGGTGGTGGGGCCCCTTTTTTGGCATCCCCTTTTCAATTGGAGAGATATTGCGGCACTGAAAAATGGGTAAGGTTTAAGGGGCAACGTGTTTGCCAACATTTGGTACATTGGGTACGACCAGGTGGCAGTAGGTGCAGCTGCAAGTTCTGCGGCTCAACGCGCATTTCTCAGCCAGCTATCGGCCCAAGTTTATCTATCTGCCCAAGTTTCTGCACAAGTTCTCCATGCACGTTTGTCATCTGTGCAACTTGCTCTTTGGAGGTTTGTTTGCGCAAGTTCTCAAAGCAAGTTTCTCTGGCCAAGCTCCCGGCGTGGATTTCTCCGTGCAAGTGCGCTGTTCACGTTTCTCTGCGCAGCTATCTCCCTGCAAGTTGTTCTGTTCAAGTTGTTGCGCGCGTCGTTCTTGATCCTAGTGCACATCGACCAAGCCGATCCGCAAAATGTCCGGGCGCGCACAGCAAAAACAAGTAGCAAGACTTTGAACCTCGACGATGCTGATTCACCATGAAGGGTCGCTCGGGCGAGTGAGAAAATCGAGTTTTTGAATCCCGACCACGCCGGCCCACGCAGAGGGACGAGCGCGAACTGCGAAGAGTAGCAAACAACTAGTTTTCAACCTCAACCACGCTGATCCACGCAGAGGGTCATGAAATCAAAAAGGTACGAGCAGAGAAAAAACTTGAGGTTTCAACCTCGGCCACGCCGCCCCACGCAGAGAACAACCACTTGAACCGCAACAGCGCGCCGAGGGTGTAATTTTCCCAGTGTGGGTTGTCCGACCGCACCGCCTTGAGAAAGGCTAAGGCTAGGTTTAATTTCGAGTCAACATTTCTCGTGCAACATGTCTCAACAGAAGCTTTCTCGCAGGTTGGCGCGTGCAACTTGACGTGCTCTCTTCCAACTTGAGCTGCGCGTTCTCTCGTGCGATTTGCTGTGCGCGTTGTCTCGCCAGTTTGCCGTGCGTATTCTCTCGCGCAAACTGCTGCACGTGTCCTCTGGTGCAGTCCGCTGTGCGTGTTCTCTCGTGCAAACTGCTGCACGTGTTCTCTCGTGCAATTCGCTGAGAAAGTTGTCGCGCGCAACTTGCTGCGTGTTTTCTCTTGTGCAACTTGCTCTGCGCGAGTTCTCGCGCGTCTTGCTCTGCATGTCCTTTCGGCAACTTGCACGCGGTCTCGTGCAACATGCATCCTGCTGTGCCCGTATTGTTGTACATCTTGCTGCGCAGGTGCTCTCGTGCATCTTGCTCGCAGGTCCTCTCGTTATCTTGCTGCGCGAGAAGGCATCCGATCTTACCAGAAGAACCTGTCGTAACGCTCCCAAGAAAAAACACAGTCTGTATGCAACTTAAAAACGTGAATTATTCAATGCATTTTGGAAAGTGGACGAAAAACCATCTGTCTTACCATGTGACATGCCACGGAAGCTGCCCTCAGCTCCCTCCCGCTGCGCGTTTGAGAGCGCGCTCGCTCCTGCGCCTGCTTCCAGGCCAAGGTCACCCGCAGCACCTTCCGCGGCATGCACTCCTCTGCCCCCAGGCCCTGGCCTCAGATGGCTTTTTCTCTCGCGTGCGCCCAAAGAAAGCGCAGTGGAGTTGGCTTTCCGGCTGTTTGCTGGTAGTTTCTGCGCTTAATGTTTTTGTTTGTTCATGCTGTTTGTTTGATTTTGATTGGTTTGCGCTTGCTTCAAATGTTCGTTTGCGACTTGCTTATTGCTGTTGTTGCAGGCGGGATTTTTGCCTTAGCGCTGGTCTTGGTTTTTCTGCTTTGTTGCTTTGGCGGGCCCCGGGTCCCGGGAGGTTGTCTGGCTAGACACCCCAGTTCGCTCCAATGCTAAGCGTGACTAGGGTTGATTGCTGCTCAATGCCCCAAAAAAGGCGGGTCTGTGTCTGCCTCAGGGCCCACGCAGGGCTCCCGGATAGAGAAATTGTGTGTGTGTGTGGGTGTGCGGGGTTGCTTCGAAGCCAAGACTTTGAAACCACATTCAGTCACAGGACAAGGGTAATTCTTTAGTGCCTCGTATTTCCAGGCCCAAATACGGAAAGAAAAAACACACACACACACACTTTCCCGGGGCTTTGGACATGCCCTGGGCCCCAGACCGTCGTGGTACAAGAAGAACTCCACTTGGGAACCCGCCACCAGGCCCCGCCACTTGGGGACCAAGTCCTCGCCATGGACGAAGATGTGACCTTCACCCGAAGCGATCCGCGCCGAGGGCCGAAGATCCCATCAAGGCATCGGATCGACTTTTGGAGGTACCGATTTCTTTGGTGGTTGTGAGGGAAAGGTGCCTTTTTTTGGGGCGTCTTGCTGTTTTGACACACACACACCGGTGGGCGAAGAAAAAGCAACGCAAGGGGAAGCCAACCCATTTCCCGCCTGTTTTTTTTCTCGGGCAAACGAGAGGGACACCAATTCTTGATTTTCTTTTTTTGTTGGGGGGGGGGCTTCCATGATGTGGAGACAAAGCCATGTCCTAGTTGCTCAGTGATCCTGGTGGCACGGCTGCCAAATTAACGAGCCCGAAGGCGCCTCAAAACGAGATTCCTCTTGCTCATGGTTGGCAATCTGAGTTGCATGATAACTTTCAGCATAGTAATTTCTTGGTTGTTGAAAATCGAGGGTTTGGCCCATCTCAACACTCGGTTGAACACCAAAGAGGGGCGACACCCCCCCCCCCAAAAAAAAAAACGAGGGAAGGACACATTTGAACCGCTGGAGGAGGGGTCTTTTCAAGAGGATGGCATGACTGTTGGACACACAGGCGGCACATCGAGTGGGAACCTACCTGGTTCCAACAAAAGCAACAAAGACTTCGGCTCTTCTTTGACTAGACATGTCGCAGGGGAACCTTACAAAAAGGGAAGGCGGCAACTGGGTTGCTTGGAAGAGACGCAGGTCACAATCGAATCTGGCAAAAGGTGTCTCCCCAATCTAAAGTACAAGGGCGGATACTGTATCTGCACCTATTTCTGGTTGGGACGGTTCACCAACCTCTTCCCAGGGAAACAACGCGACACCTTTTGGCGCAGGGCACACCACTTGGTGCGATGAAATCCCGTTTGAACGGGAAACCAAAGGGATTTGGGGTCTAAGGGAAGATATCCCTCATTTTTGCAAGCACGCCTTGGTGCTTGGTGATCTCCGGGTGCTCAATGCTGCGCTCCGGCTCAATCCATCCGTGGGTCTTCTTCCACCTGAGTCAATGTGCCAAACCACAGCCAAAACAGGGTCCCCCAAAAGGAGATTCCTCTACAAAGGGTTTTTGGGGTTCCAGGTTGTCTGCAAGGGTGCAACTGGCTGGTTGCTTGAAAGCCCTTTGCTTGTTTGCTCATTGGCTGTCGTCCTTCTGTGTCCAGAAAACAGCCAAGATTCTGAGAAACTCCCGGGTCGGGGAAATCAGAGTTCTTCCCTGGACATTTTGGCGGCAATAGATTGAGACCTCAATGGCACGGACACCAAATTAACGACAGAGTCTGGCTTGTTCAGAATGGGGGGTTCCCTAATCCGCACTCATGACTCATAACTGTAGCGGGACACCGCGACAAGGATCTACAACCTGCTTTAACGTCGACCATGAACGAATAAACCAGACAACGAGTAGGGGAGGCAGAGTTTCTCCCCAAAGTGAAGGACCCTCTTGAATGGAGCACCCCCGTAATAACCCGCCAGGGTCGAGCAATCCTGGGCTTTCGTGGAATGCGTTGACAGAACCTGCCAGGCTGCGCATTGCTCGGCCGGGGCCCGCAAGGACCAAAAGCGACAACTTGCTGGGTGAAAGGGAAAACTAGGGAAACCCAAGAGCAAACCGCAAGGTGAGATAAGTTTGGCAATTTGTAGTTTTCTTTTTGAGGAGTTGCTCACAGCCGGCTCTTTCCGTCACATGTCGGATGAAAGGATTGCGTTCTGCCATCGGCTTCGCTGCAGCTAATTCTCAAGCAATGCGCAAACCGCCAAACAGAACATGGTGTACTCCCTACAAGCTATGTAAGGATATAGGCCCCGAATACTAGATCTGCTCTCCCGAAACTACCTCGTCGCGGCCTGAGTAGTTGCATCAGGGGTCCCTGAACCAAGACTGAGCAAATACTGAACCAATCAACTATTCCCCTTATCAATGAATGCAACCCTCTAAACAGATACGGGTTTCACAAACCTACAAATTTGCCCATACTAGATAAATTAGTAAACACTAAACCAAGTCTAAACCTGCAAATGTCTGCCGACCCGAGCTTCAGTTTTATTTTTTTGGGGGACACGCTAGAACTAGTCTAGACTAATACTAAACTGATACTAAACCAGTTTTACTCCAATTTGAAGCCAGCAGCCAAAAAAGACTTAGATTTCTGCTGCTTGAATTTGTTACTTGCAATTTGTCATTGTTGGACGATTTCGTGGCTCGGAAAGGGGTCCCCGTTTGGACGAGGATCGTACCAGAACCCTTGCGGCAATAAGTGTAAAAATGATACATTTCGTTCCGCCCAGGCGAACGTTTTATTAGAGCTTATTTATCAACGGGCGGTCACGAAACTAAGAATAAAGCACTGCTAAATTGAAATGAACCCTGCTTCTTCCTACATTTTTGTGGGCGGGAGGGATCATCTTGGGGCGGTAGATGCCCGTAGGGACAACTCACATGAAAGGCCTCTTGCCCAAATGTTCACTGTTACACTGTCCTTGGTTCCCTCCCACCACCGCAGGTCCCTTTTAGAGGAAAATGGTCTTCCAGATCCCTCATTCAGGTTCCGTGGCAACGTGGGTGAGAATTTGCCTTGGCTCTGCTGGCCTTTAGCGTCTTGAGCGCTGCAAAGAACGAAAGGGCCTTGCTGACGCGTGGGAAGTTCGAACGGTGATGTCACGCTGGGTCCAATGGGAATCAATCTGTTCAACGCTGTTCCAACTTGAAGTCTTGGGTCTCAAAGGTCAACCGATTGAAAATCTTTGAATGGGCCCCATGAGTGCTTGGTGAGTTTTTGGGTCCAACAGTTTTCCCCAAGTTTGGGGCATGCGCCATTTTCTTTTTTATTTCTCTCTCTCTCGCTCTCTCTCTCTCTCTCGCTCTCCCCGCCTTTTGTCTTGAAGCCGACCGAACGCACACTCCGAGCGTGTAGGAAGCGCGGTCCAGCTTTTCGGTGCTCCAAATCAGGTTTGCAACGGTGGCCATTCTGGAAAACAATATTCTTGCAATTCCCAAGGGGAACGTCCCAGTGGCTTCCATGACTACTTCATGCCGTTGAAAGGCACCCCCCACCCAGAAAAAGTTGCATCAAACCACAATTTCCCATATTTTCCCATGACCATGGACATAAACGCCCATTACATATATAAATGGTCAGTCACCAAACAAATGGCTGCCCCGTGTCTTTGGAATGCACCCCCTCAAACCTTGTGGGGCGTTCGAGGCCCGAGGCGCTCCACCACTTTGCCCACCACCGGCGTGCTGCTCAGCCGGACCCGGGCAAAGTCCCCCATCTCGCTGTCTTGAGCCGTACGGAAAGGAACGAGGCCAAGAAGGACACATGTACAATACCTTCAAAACTGTAATCAAAACCCGCATTCCGGCACGGGACACACAACCTGAGCAATCCAACCCTCAACCAACCCCAACCCAGCCCTGAATTAATCCTAACTTGAGCAGAAGGAACCCTAAACCCACACTTGAGGAGCGGGTGAACGAAAGCTAGCAGTTGTTGCATGAGATGGGTCGGTGACAGAGTGGATTCATAGGTAGCTTGTGTACAACGAGAGGCCCGGCAAGATTCGTAGGATGCGACATGCAAACGCACATGGTGGCGTGGCAAACCTTGAAAAATGAAAACAACGAGAGGCGTCAGAAGCTGTCTTAAAGCACCGCTGGGTTCTGCACGCGGCGTGTGCAAAGATTCTTGCGAGGTGGTTTACTGAGAAGACTGAGGTCTCAAATGAACAAGCTGAATCGGTGGAACATGTAAAAGTTCGTAGCACCAAGTCCAAAACGGGCAAGCCAAGACTGCTGAAACACTGAGCCACTGCCCGGGGGGAGGGGTGGACCAAGGAGGAATCGAGCCTGAGACGGGGGGGGGGAGGGGGGGGGGTCTAAATAATCGATTTTTTCAATCTTTTCGGCTCAAATAATTGAAAAAATCAATCTTTCGGCAGTTGAGCCCCTTACCTTGCTTACGCTTCAGCTAGCTAAAGCTAGCTTTCGTGATATTCCAAGCTGGCTCAACCCGCCGACTCTGGACCAGCCCCAATCCAACCCTAAACTCATCCTAAACCAAGCTGCCCCACAACGCAGCCGCAGGACAGGGATCATAGGGGGACGAAGAGGGGGGGGTTACAGGGACGGTGCACCGTATGCATAAGCGCGTGTCACATGTGTACTGTGCAACCTGGTCCTACGCCTGAACTTGCCGGTCCCTGCAGGCAGCACTCGGACCATAAAGCAAACACCCAGAAAGCTGCCTTCTGGGTGTTGACTGGGTTGCTCCTCCCTGAGCAAATCGTCGAAAACCTTTTGTAGAAGCTCTACAGGGCCAGGGTCACACCAAACCAGGCAAAGCAGCACCCCAGTTCTTGGACGCTGCATCTGGGGCCACCAGGCAGACACATCAGCTTCGGCTTGGGTGGACCTGGAGATGGATGCGGGTCCCCTTTTCCTCGGTTGCAATCAGTGGACCTGTTCAAAAGGAAACGTTGCATGCTAGAGCCACTGATTGTGGCTCACTCATGTTCGCCACCCCTCCCTGGTTGCAAAGGAAGCCTGTGTGGAAAATCGCTGGGACAGGTGCAAAGCCTAAAGAGTGGCAGAACCCAAACAAGAGCTACAAGGCCTTCCCAATTGCTAGCTCTGCACTTAAGGACAGGGATTGTACAACCATTTGGTTCAACATCTTTGAAATCCATTGGCCGCCTGCTTTGGGCTCCCCTCACCAGCACCTGGTTGGCTTAAGCGTGACCAAGGGCGAGGGCTCAGCCTAGCTCAACGGATGGATAAAGCGCGAATGATGCGGTAAAACCACCTACCATCTGGCGCGAAGTCGATTTTGCCCATGCGAACTTTCTCCAGCTTTGGCCGATCTCCGGCTCAGGGCAACAAGCCCGAAGACGAGACTTGCGTCATGGTGGATCGTTCATGCCATCAGGGTTCCCCTATTTACAAAAATCAACCCTGGATGAAACCCAATTCAACTCGCCCAAGCCGCCCTAAGGCAACTCAATTCCAATCGGCCTTTCTTACAGGTGATGCTTTCACCAAGAGTTTTTCGGGAGCCCCGGGCATAGACGCCAATGCTTCTCAAGTGAACTGCAGAGTCTAAAGTCGCGTTGAAAGGCGCGGGCAACTCACTGGCAAAGGACCTCAAGACTTCACCTATTTCATTCCACTGCAAAAAGAAAAACGAGAGCTCGCCACACTGTGACTGGGTGCAGAGAATGAGGGGTCGTTCTTATGTCCACCTGCTTTGGCGCCTTGGGCTTCCTGGGAACATGCTGAAGTATTGGCTGTTTAGCACCTGTTTAAGGGCTGGGATCCACTGGAAGAGTGACACTGGCTGGATGCAACTAAAACTCTAACAAGAAAGTGGGCCAAACCTGGACAATGAAAACGTCCATCCGTGCCAAGTGAGGTTTTTCGGCCGCCCAATTCACAAGAAGCAGAGTGGCGATCTGGCTTGGCGCATGGCATGCATGGCTGAACCGGAATGCTCTAGAAAGCCGCTAGAGCCGCTCTCAAGTCTCAGTCCCATTGTCAGGGTAACGCCAAAGACCTTGAAGACATTTGGTCCCTTTGGAAAAAATAGCTTTGGAAATTGAAGGGGCGCATTTACTCTTCTGTTTCGGCAATCATCTATGCGAGTCTCTGGGCCTTTCGGAGGCATAGCACCCCCAGGAACACGCAGCTTGCGTCGAAACCTCACTTGCCCAAAGGACATGGAAATAAAGGGCCAACTTTTGAGACCTTGACTTGGAAAACCAAAAAATCAAACAGTCGGTTTGGACACCTGAGGCAAGTGGGTGTCCCATCCTCTGCCTACTTCAAAAAAGCAATGGGGTCCATCAAACAAGTGGGCCGAACCTCGTTTCGCACAACTGCCATGGCACGTCTGCCAGCATGGGCCGTCCCCTACGAGGGGGAATCCTTGGCCCACAATGGGCTCATGAAATCATATGTTCAGATTCTGCTTCATAAGTTTCATGCCACCTGTTGTTTTGGAGGAGGCCTCGGGACTCCAAACCACCGGCCCATAGTTGCAATTTACCGCTGCGACCTGTGAAGCTCTAGATGCGTTTTCAGCCACCTTTGCGCAGGCGCCGGCTGTTCGGAGAGAACAAACAAGGAGGCCGTCCTCTGAAATACTGTGACCAAAATCCACTTCGCGCCTGGCGCTTTACCCCGCCCAAGCTTGTCCATCGAGCTAATGCCTGATGGATCGGGCGCTATGCCTCCACCACAGCGCCGCATGCGAAACTGACTTCCCTCGAGGAATGCGCCACCTTCAGTGGCTTTTCAAACTGGCCGCTGGGCCTGGTCCCTCAACATCCCTCACCCGCAAACACTGTCTTGTTCTTCTGAGGAAACCCAAGCTCTGAGCCAAAGCTGTCGGCTGATCATGTGGCCAACAATGCAGCTGAAATTGGCCTTTGATGCGCCCGGCATGCGCCAACATCTCCGCACTTCTTCGGCCGGGGCTCCACCAGTGCCAAGCGAACACTTTCACTCAGCTGGCATTTTCACGCGTGGCCAGGCATGAAAGTCGTTTCTTGCCAGCTGTCTAAGCCAAATAGCCCTGGCCGAGGCGGGCAGAGCAGAGCGTTGACAATAAGGATAGGATCCAAGAGAACGACGAGAAAGAGCAACAAGACACAGTGAAATAAAAACAAGAACGGCCAACATCAAGAGAACGGAGCGAAAAGAGAGAAATTAAGAAGAGCAACAAAAAACACCGAGAAAGAGAATGCAAGAGAAAGCAAGATAACTGTCGTAGCCTAAGCTATTGTGCGATGGAAACTTCCGCTCCGGCTTTACGTGTGTGTGTGTGTTTCTCTTTTTTTGGGGGGCAGGGGGGGGGGTCGCGTTTTCCCTTGTTCAGCACTGCGGCTGATTTAAATACATAGCTTGCAGGGAACAAACCCGGGCAAACAAACACAAATACAAGATCAACACTTTGGCCTTTTACTTGTCAAGGACTGCCTATCTGAGACCGGCCTTGCTTAGATTTGGAATCTTTCTGCCTGGGCATCTCTACAGGTTCGCAGACGCCCTCACACATCCAAAGCACGCCGGAATTGCGGCAATTGGCAACACCAAGGCGTTCCAAGAAACTGCGCGAAGGCGGCGCTACTGCGAGGTGGAACATGTCCCATCGCAGTTGCGCTGCGTGCTGCGACTGACGCTGTGCAAGGATAAGTTCCATGCACGTCGAAGCGCTGTGCGCAGGCTGAGGTTTCGTTGTGTCAAGCCAAAGCATCGTGAACCTGTGGACATCCAGTCTGTCAAACTGCCTGATACACAAAACAAAGCCTGGCCAAGCAGGAAGACCTCGAAGCATGCTAATCATCCTTGGCCATGGGGTAGGTACGAGAGTTTGCGCTTGCAGTGTGGCGGACCAGCCAAAACCGGGATCACCTCCAAAGCAACTTGCCGCTGCCATCATGACCACCTTGCAGCGCAGCAGTGTGTTGAATTGAGCCGGGCAACGAGCGCGACGCGTGTCTATGACTGTCTATGTCAAGATCGATTGGCGGAGCTTCTCAACACTTGGACGCAGATAAGCAGGCGAGGCGTCCCGCAAAGAGGGCCACACAGAGCGGAGCTTTCTTTTTGGATCCTTGACAATGAGGGTTGTAAAGAGTTTGAGCAGTGGCAGGGTTAGGGGAATCTTGGGTCCCTACACGCAGGCTTCATTCTTTGTTAGTGCAGCGGCTCCGAAGCATTGGACTTCGTATCGAGCCTGGTAAATCCAGTGCGCTTGCACGCGCCACCCCACAAGACGAGAGGGGAGGCTCCTTCTTGCCAGTCGAGGAGTTCCAACTCAAATGGCACACCAGCTGCAGCAGGTCGTGAACCTGGCGCATGTCCGTCCGGCAACCACCACTAATCAAGCTTTCCTTGGCGACCCCAGCTTGCTAGCTCTAAGGCGGGTAACAGCTTGCCACAGCTCTGCCTCACGGACGGGTGCGGCAGCTGCGGTCTCGACAGGCCAAGGTTGGTCACCGCCTGCTTGAGCAAAGCCAGCTTGAGACCAAACATGTCGGATTGCGGATTTCGCCAGGGGTGGTTGCTTTCCCGACTTAAAAGGGACCGTTGGGTTGAAGTTCCTTGCAGAAGTCAAAACATGAAACCCCCCTTTCAGCAAGTTCAACTGGTTAGTTAAAGGTTGGTACTGGGGTCTGTTTAAAGGCAACGCATACCCTGGAAAAAGTGCAAAGGAGGGGCCCACCCACAAAAAGTCCTCACGGTTCCTTTGAGCCTACGAGCAGAAGGGCGTGGGTTCTTATATGTCATCCACTTGAACATTGCCCCCGAAATTGTTCCTTTTGGTCTGGTGGAAAAGGTGTTATAAACGGCCAAACAAATACCCGGCTCATGAAAATGGCAGCCCTTTTGGAAGCACTCAAAAAGGGGCAAACCAGAAGGTTCGTTTTGGTAGAAGGAAGGATCACGGGTCTATGTTTCATCTATTGAGGTCCTGCAGGCCAATCTGCGGGCGAGAGAATAAGTTTCAATCAGATTCTTCCGAGATCGACAACTGGATCTCAGACTCGCAAGAGTGGTGACTGCTTTGTGCACAGGGTGGATTCTCACCGATGTTCACACCACGAGCAGCTCAGGCAACTGGATTTCCAAGAAACAATTGCACTTAAAAATTGGCCTCTAAAAGCTGTCATTTCCAAGAAACAATTGCACTTAAAAATTGGCCTCTAATAGCTGTCCATCTAATCCCTGAGCACCAGCAGTTCAAACTTGTTGGGCTCCTTCGAAACTCACTTTACACAGCAGGGCTTGCTTTCTGACCCTTTTCGGTCAGGTAGGCTGTAGAAAAGCAAGCACTCCTTTGGGCTCGACTGGCATGGGCAGTTGAGCCTGAAAGCGCAATGACCCCATCCAAAGTGGGGTTAAACTTCAAAACTTCGACGCTGTGCGGGCCACGCGAACTCATCGAAGTGCGTTCTCACCTCGCCTTCCCACTGCGCTGCTTTGCTTTTGGCATCTAACTTTGAACGCGGTCTAAATTTACGCGTGGCAAATGCCGTCGGAGCTTGAAGGAAACTCGAACGGCGGCGCGCGGATCGGCAAAGTGTGAATTGGTATGTGTCAAAAAATAAAGGTTTTGCTCAGAATTGTCCCTTGAAACCAACCTTGCAAAAGGCGCCCTCAAACCCAACCCAAATCGTGGAATCGTCGGTCCTTGAGATATTTGTGTTTGCCATGGGTTGTGTTGAACATCACCTTTCGGCTGCAATGTTGAAATTTAGTTTGCTTTAGTCCGGTGGTGTTCAAACGTGCATAATTGCCAAGAACCATGCTTGCAAAGTTTAGCTTGTGCCACAAACACCCCTTCAACATCCTAGGGAGCCCTAACTTTTGTAAACCTCGCTCCGTGCTGCGAACAACTTCCACAGGACATGGGATCCTTTTTTGCCGATCCGGCCAGCCGCAACTGCAAGCAACTTATTTGCCCAGGTGGGACTTATGCATCACCGCCCTTTGGACCACCGCAGGCCCTGCGCTAAGTACTCCCATGCCGAAGTGAGCTGGGAGCTCTTGGCCTTCGAGGTCTCAGCGTCGCTGAGATCTCGTTCCTCGCTGGAGTGGGAAATGAAAGCCCTGCTTGACGCGCCAAGGGGAAAATGCGAGGAGTCTTTTTGTTAAGTTCTTCATTCTTGGTGGGGGCAAGTGGGAGCAGGAACAGCCATTCAACCACATCCATATCACTTTGGGACAGTTGTCATGCACTGAGACTCTTTTCCCAACAGGGACAGTTGGCAAATAGCCAAAGGGTCTGGTGTCCCCCTTCATGTCTCCCCTGGTATCACAATAGGGGTACATGACCTTGAGTAGCCCAGCGCAACAAATGGGGCATCTTAAAACATGCATTCAACCGCCAACCCCTTTGCAAGGATCCTCTACACACCCGTTTTTTGTCTCAAATGTTCCACTGCCCCAAATGCATCCTTGACAAAACTGCGTGGCTATCTTTGGCCCAGCTGCGCGCTTCTCCCGCACCGCGTGCCGCAGCTTGCGCGGAGCACGCTCCACGCCTTTGAGGAAGACGTTCAGGTTGTGCTTCCCGTACTCGTGCAGCAAGCGGTTGGGTGACAATGGCGTGTCCTGCGGTTCAAGTCGACGTCTTGCTCCAAACGAAAACGTCTTGCATTCTGGAATGGGACACTCGCGACTCATCACCCGGAAGGTTTAATCTGTTTTCACAAACCGCTGGCCTCAGGGGACAAATATGGCATACTGCCCTCAAATGACAGGGTTGCCTTTTGGCTATATACCCCAATGCCCCGCCCTTCCAAACTCTTCGTTTGTGTTTTTGCAAGGGCTTATTTCAGACGTTTAGACCAAAACCAACATTTTGGACCCTGCCAGCGGAGGTTTGTGGGAACATCTCGCGATATGGGACTTCCCGGATTGGCATCCCCTTGAGATGGGGACTCTCAAATCTTGCACAGCCCCAACTGACAGGACAAGTCTATCAATGATGATTTCTTTACGCTAGAGAAAAAGAGTACTGATAATGACGAGGCGTTTCAGAGGCAACACAGAACTGCTTCCACAGTACGGAGGGTCTTTTGACCATGCACCCTCATTCAACTATCCATCTTGGCATTTGATCAAGCTGGCCAACGGTCGGGTCCTGCGGAAGCTCGCGGCCCCTGGAGTAGTCGTGGTAGGAGCAGCGGGGGCTCCTTGCCTCGAAGTCATGGAAGGGACCCCACACTGCGTCTGACGTCATGGGGTTAGAGTTGGCTCCCAACGTGTCGCGTTGACTCTTCGCACTGGAAACGTTGAATCGTTGTGCCTTTGGACTCGCTGTATTAACGGTTCTCTGGGCGTCAGGAAAATGAAGAAGCCCTCTTAGTACAATTGTAAACCTTGCCGACGGGAGAAATCAGCGATGTTTTGTCAGGCTCCTAAAAAATATATAAAAACTGCAAAGGGCCATTTGGCTCAGATCCTGGGACGTGCTCTCCGGTCCGCTAACATGGAGCCAGACTATACAGTTTCCCCAAAAACGGGACCCTCCAAGAGGGTGCAATCACACATTACCGCTTGAACACGAAGCAGGCAGCCAACTTCGGTTTAATGCGTCGAGATGGACTACTGACGCCAAGCATAAATGGCTTCGTAGGGCACCGCGCAAAGGACCAAATGGAGCGATGACCACCCCGCATGCAGCATCAGGGTAGGTTGCAACAGAGCAAAATGGGGCAAGATGCATGGAGGATGGTCAACCCCTTAGAAACGACTGCCTGAGTTGCCTTGGCCACTCACGAAAATTGCTACCTAAAACCCCGGTTTCCACGATAGTGCCCAGTTGCTCAATGCCCAAGTCTGGCCCGAGCAACATAGTCCGCGTGCTCCGCCGGTGCGTCAGCCGTCGTTACAACCAGGTGCATTGGATATGTTTGACCAGGCCCTCAGATGATGCCTTAGAGTCTTAGGCTAACATGGCTACAGATCGTGATGTCTTAGAATAGCATGATTGGAATGACGGTATGCGACATGTGTCAACCTAGGGAATGCATACAGCGTTGCCTGAAGCCCCCTTGAACCTGAAAAGACGTGCGCCCAGCCCGCGCCCGAAAGGCGAGCCAAGCAACGCCCAAGGCCCACATCTCTGAGAAGCCAAAGTCGGAGTCAGGGGTCTGCGCCTGCAAGGGGCTACGTCATGCGTTCGAGGGTTGCGAGGGTTGATTAAAAAAAACTCAAGGTGCCCCATTGAGGGAATCAACTAACTTAACTTTGGGACGCTTGGGGCCACCAACTGGATCGCAAGTAGTTGAATGATTGTTCTCATACCCGCTCTAGAAACCAGTTGGAGGAAGTTTCCATCAAAAAAGAGCTATCTGTTCTTTTCTCTCTCTTCTCTCTTTCTATCTATGTATCTACCTGCCTATCTATCTATCTGCCTATCTTTCTATGTTTGCATCTATCTTTTTACCTATCTATCTCGCGATCTTGCTTTGAAATGGCGGCGCCTACAAAGCGAGCGAAAGCGCCCTCTTCATAGCTTGAGCCATGAAGTCAGGCCAAAGCATCGTTGAGGGAATTTGGGAAACTTAGGTGGCTTCATCACGGGCCTCCTGCTTCCAGTCTTCTTTTTCGCGGTCATACTTCAGGTCGTGTCCAAGTACAGTAGGGTACCTGGTTCCTTCCGTGCTCTCACCCTGGAACGGATGAGGCCATCATCTTGAAACGGAAGATGTGCCTCCTCGTGGTGGTCGTCCATCCGCAACCACTTCCTCATTTCCCCCGCTATGAGGATCTCACTCGGAGACTCTGCCACCGGCACAGCGACACCTCCATGCGTAAGCCAGATGCTGCTCTTGCCGCCCTTGTCCGGGGTGCGGCCTGGTCCAAGCCAGCGTCCACGTTGGTTGAAGAGTAGCCAGGATTTTGAAGGATCTGCTCGGTGGTTCTGATATCCGTAGCATCGCTTTCCGAGCCCTCTCGTGGGAGTCCGTTCATGTGTGGCCCGCATCACCATCTGCCCACAGCGTCTCACCATATCGGGTAGGCTCTCAAGACACACTTCACGGTTCTGCCTCACGAGTGCTGGCCGCACTGGCAGTAGACGAGCTTTGTCCAGGTGCTCCACGGTCAGAGCATCCTCTCCAATGGACCTGATTGCGCGGGCGCATTGCTGATGAGGAGCGCAGCCCTTTCTCGAAGTAGGCGCTCGATTTTTGGGGGGGAGCTGCAGGTCTGGCTTCTTTGGGTGTCAAGTCCTCCACGCAAACCTTGTTTCTGAGGTCCTGTCACGAGCTTGTGATCAGCTTGCAAAGCAGGCTCTCGGGCAGCGATGTGCGTCCCATCGACTAACCTCAAAGATGCGAGCTCCTCCGAGATCCCCAAGCTTCTCAGCCCTCTCTTCTACATCTCATCCTCCTTCTACATCTCATCCTCTCCGAGGCGCTCCTCCTGCTCCATCTTCAGCCGGGTCCTGAAGCTGCGCCCGCTGAGATTGCTTGGCCCCTGCAAGCTTGTAAGGCTTCGTTACCCATGTGAATGGTATTGCGTACAAAGAGAGCTTGCGCCATGAGTCGGGCCGAAGAAGCTCGTTTGAGGTATCTTAGGTGGCTTCATGGTCTCTTTTACATTGCTATCTCGTCATTGCTATCTCTCTCTCTCTCTCTCTCTCTCTCTCTCTCTCTCTCTCTCTCTCTCTCTCTCTCCATCTCTTACACTCTCTATCTCCCTATCCCTCTATCTCTCTATCTTGCCACCTTTCTACCTCCCTATTTTTCGATATACCTGACCTTGCGCTAAATGCATCTGCATCGCTTTCGCAAGGTCAAGCACAGGCCAAATCACTGCGCAGGGGGCTACGATACTTACTCGGAGCTCTGCGGAGACGCTGCTTTTGGTTTCCCTTGGCTACGGCTCCTTGTCCGGGAAAAGCCATGTGCGTGCTGCTGGAGTATAGGCATAACAAGAGCTTACCCTAACCAAACACCTGAACCCCTAAACTGTGTTGACCGCGAACCAACACGCTAACCCAAGCCCTAAACTGGGACCCAAACCCTCCTGCTTGAGATCTGCGGGTTGGTTGTCCCAGGCACTTGTTCTCAGCCAACTCTTTTGGCCGGGGCGGGGCAAGTGAAACCACTCCACGACCTCTCAATCCGGACAGCACGAATTCACCAGCAGTACCTGGGCATGCTTGGCAAGCCTGTCACAGGTTGGCAAGTCAAAGTGGGGGCACGCTCGCGTTTTGCGGGCAAAATGGATACAAAACCAAAGATACATAGATAGAGAGATAGATAGGTAGAAAGGTAGAGTAGGTAGAAAAAAAGATAGATACATATACCAACGGATAAACAGGTAATTAGATGGGTAGATTCGCGCGACAACCTTTTCAATCAGTGTCCGCAACACGGGAGCTCCTTGTAAACTTCCTTTGGTTACTTTTACGAGTTTGTCCGATTCCCTTCAACCCAGCATTCAAAAGGTTTTGAGGATGTCGCTTTGGTTGGTTGGTTGGTTGGTTGGTGGCTTGCTGGGTTCTGCAGCCCCGAACAACCTTCTCTCGCCAGTTACGGTTGGAGTTCTAGGGCCCGGACTGGCCACCCCTGACAAGGTACCATGAACTTAGCAGGGCCCGCACAAACGACGACGAGCACTCCCTACAAGAGTGGCCAACGGCAAAACGGCCGTGGGCCCACGAACGCGCAAGGGGCCAGTAGTGGTCGCCAAACCTTCCAAAGGTCAAGGCTAACAAGCAGCCAGGGCCCGGTATGAGTGCACCACCACAGTGTGAGCTCGGAAAGCGCTAGGTGCCAAGACAAAGGCCGAGAATGTTGCTTTAAAGGATTTCATGGGCCCCGCTGAAGGGCTGCTTGCATATTGTAAAAGCAGCGCCCTTTGTAGGATCGTCAATGTAGGTGGTGTCTGGGGTAGATACCACTCTTTTCCACCATCCAGTGGTTGAGCCCTTCGAAGAGGAGTATCGCGGGCATTCAAGAACTCTTGGAAAGGTCCAGCCCAGCCGCAGAGGATCCATCCCAGGCTGCGCCCAGGAATCAATCGCCCGGAATCATCCAGCAAAAAATCAAAAAGATCGACTCTGAAAAAATCTAGCTTTTTATATAAAGTACAGTATGCGTGTTTAGGTCCTGTTTGGTGGCTGCTGGTTCTTTAGCTCCATTGCTTTGATGCAAAATCAAAGCAACACACGTTGAGAACCAACAACTACAAACAAATCGACTTGCCCCTGTGCAACAGACCTGATGCTCTCACAAACAAAAACAATTGCGACATTCCTTCCAGTCAAACACACCCCAACCGGCAATTTCCCTTACAAACAAGCAGCAACTGAAAAGCAGAATAGCCAATAGTCGTTCCACACCTTGCCGGAGCACAACAAAATATTGCCCTCCTTCTTGCCCAGGTGGTTGTATCTCGGGTATGACCCTCTTGAAACAATTTGAAAGAAACGGTTGGGAGGCCCGATTCCTTTTTTTGGTCTTTTGACACAAATGCAATGGAAGTAGGACCTCTATGATGGATTTGCGTTGAGGCCAGAACTCCCCCGTCCCCACCATTCTTAAGGAAGTGAACACCTTCCTGGGCTGACTCAATTTGTTACGGGGACACCACCAACGACCAAGGGACTTAGAGGCACCGAGCAATTGCGCCCCATCTATGTTCCACTTCCAATCAAACTCACGTCGCCTAAACGGTGTTCAATACCGGGGAAATGCATGGAACACAGGATCTCTTGAACCCCTGCAGTTGCATCGTCTCATGCCCGACGGCTGCCTCCGTCGGGTCACTCGGCTCTGTCGGCGTCTCTGACTGAGGAGTCCTTGAGACGGTCGGTCGACGGGGACGGGCTCCCCTGCCAGGTAAATGGTTAAGCCCCTGTTGGCTCTGCAAACCCTTTGGTAAGATTGACGGGGTGCCTTTTGCAGGCTTGGCGCCCTTCAAACATCCAAACGAAACCACACATTTGGGTGTCCAAATGTCACCCACAACAACTAGAGGACGATTGGCCCGAAAGCATTTTTCCCCGGGTGCTCATCCACGCGGAGACACCTTTTTACATTGCTGCGGCGAGCGTGTCTGCACGCGGCGATGCTCAATGTGTATGGTCACATGAGAGCTCCATCTCATCATCCTAGTTTCCTCTCGAACTGCGCCGCGCGATTTCTCAAGAAAGTGATCTGCGCAAGCTGCATTGTTCCAGGCTGCTGCGCGCAAGTTGCTCTCTGCAAGCTGCTGCACGCAAGTGCTCTGTGCAAGTTGCCCTGCGCAAGTGCTCTGAGCAAGTTGCTCTGCGCAAGTGCTCTGCGCCAGTTGCGCCGGTGCACGGCACCAGGGGCACCACAGGGTCCGATTGCTTGCTGGTGTACTCGGTCGTGGGGAAAAGCTTGATCTACCAAATTCGAAGACGGGAAGCCGGGCAGCGAGTCTGGGAGTTATATGGGCAGTACCATATCATTCCCAGAGTTTTCCAGGAGACGTGTTTGCCTGAAACTAAAGGCCGGCATGCAGCTTCCGTGCAAGCGCTTTGCGCATGTGCTCTGTGCAAGTTGGTCTGTGCAAGTTGCTCTGCGCCAGTTGCTCCGTGCAAGCGCTTTGCGCATGTGCTCTGTGCAGGTTGCTCTGCGCAAGTGCTCTGAGCAAGTTGCTCTGCGCAAGTGCTCTGCGCCAGTTGCTCCGTGCAAGCGCCTTGCGCATGTGCTCTGTGCAAGTTGGTCTGTGCAAGTTGCTCTGCGCAAGTGCTTTGTGCAACTGCTCTGTGCAATTCGCAGAGCGCAAGTTGCTCTGCGCAAGTGACTCTGCGCAAGTTGCTCTGCGCAAGTGCTGCCGGAGCTGTGGGAATGTACTTCGCGGACTATTTTTGTACTTAAAAGTTGCGATTTTCCAGCCGGAGCTGCGGGAGCACGCTCCGCATACTATGTCTGTACTTAAAAGTTGCGATTTTCCAGCCGGGGCTGCAGGAGCACGCTCCGCGTACTACGTTTGTACTTAAAAAGCTGCGATTTTGAAGCCGGAGCTGCCGCGGACCAGGGGGGAATGAACCCGCGACCGCGGGGGCGCGCGAGCCTTGAGACAACTTCCAAAGGCCATTCGCGAGCAACAAATTCGCACGGCGCCACAGCGAGAGCGCTTCGACACGCACGATCCCCGCAGAGCGTCGCGCGCGGCTTGCAGAAATCGTATGCGCGCGCATGTTAGAAATCGTAAAAAGTCCTCAGTTGTTGAACCTCGACCACGCGAATCTCCGCAGAGGGTCGCGCGCGGCTTGCAGAAATCGTAAAAAGTCCTCAGTTTTTGAACCTCGACCACGCGAATCTCCGCAGAGGGTCGCGCGCGCATGTTAAAAATCGTATAAAGACCAAGCGAATCTCCGCAGAGGGTCGCGCGCGGCTTGCAGAAATCGTAAAAAGTCCTCAGTTTTTGAACCTCGACCACGCGAATCTCCGCAGAGGGTCGCGCGCGCACCGCAGAAATCGTAAAAAGTCCTCAGTTTTTGCACCTCGACCACGCGAATCTCCGCAGAGGGTCGCGCGAGGCTTGCAGAAATCATAAAAAGTCCTCAGTTTTTTAACATCGACCACGCGGATCTCCGCAGAGGGTCGCAATCCCGAGCGATGATCAAACTCCCGCCCCGGCGCCTTAGAAACCTAAACTAACTTACATAGCTGCTTACGCCGAAGCTCTAGGCAAGCTCTACCTAACCTTGGCTCTGTGCCACTTGGCTCTGTGCCACTTGGCTCTGTGCCACTTGGCTCTGTGCCACTTGGCTCTGTGCAACTTGACTTGGCTCTGTGCCACTTGCCTGTGCCACTTGGCTCTGTGCCACTTGGCTCTGTGCCACTTGGCTCTGTGCAACTTGACTTGGCTCTGTGCCACTTGCCACTTGGCTCTGTGCAACGTGGCTCTGTGCCACTTGGCTCTGTGCCACTTGCCACTTGGCTCTGTGTAACTTGGCTCTGTGCCACTTGGCTCTGCGCAACTTGACTTGGCTCTGTGTAACTTGGCTCTGTGCCACTTGGCTCTGTGCAACTTGGCTCTGTGCAACTTGACTTGGCTCTGTGCCACTTGCCTCTGTGCCACTTGGCTCTGTGCAACGTGGCTCTGTGCCACTTGGCTCTGTGCCACTTGGCTCTGTGCCACTTGGCTCTGTGTAACTTGGCTCTGTGCCACTTGGCTCTGTGCCACTTGGCTCTGTGCCACTTGGCTCTGTGCCACTTGGCTCTGTGCCACTTGGCTCTGTGCCACTTGGCTCTGTGCCACTTGGCTCTGTGGTACTTGACACTTGGCTCTGTGCCACTTGGCTCTGTGCCACTTGGCTCTGTGCCACTTGACTTGGCTCTGTGCCACTTGGCTCTGTGCCACTTGGCTCTGTGCCACTTGGCTCTGTGCCACTTGGCTCTGTGCAACTTGACTTGGCTCTGTGCAACTTGACTTGGCTCTGTGACCTTGCCTCTGTGCCACTTGGCTCTGTGCAACGTGGCTCTGTGCCACTTGGCTCTGTGCCACTTGGCTCTGTGCCACTTGGCTCTGTGCAACTTGACTTGGCTCTGTGCCACTTGCCTCTGTGCCACTTGGCTCTGTGCAACACTTGGCTCTGTGCACTTGGCTCTGTGCCACTTGGCTCTGTGCCACTTGGCTCTGTGCCACTTGGCTCTGTGCCACTTGGCTCTGTGCCACTTGGCTCTGTGCAACTTGGCTCTGTGCCGTTGGCTCTGTGCCACTTGGCTCTGTAACTTGGCTCTGTAACTTGGCTCTGTGTAACTTGCTCACTTGGCTCTGTGCCACTTGGCTCTGTGCCACTTGGCTCTGTGCCACTTGGCTCTGTGCCACTTGGCTCTGTGCCACTTGGCTCTGTGTAACTTGGCTCTGTGCCACTTGGCTCTGTGCCACTTGGCTCTGTGCCACTTGGCTCTGTGCCACTTGGCTCTGTGCCACTTGGCTCTGTGCCACTTGGCTCTGTGCCACTTGGCTCTGTGCCACTTGGCTCTGTGTAACTTGGCTCTGTGTATCTTGTGCAAGGGCTCCGCACGGAAGAACCCTTCGCGATGCTTTCGGGAAAAACAACACTACTCTACTAGCCTACCTGTGCGAAAAGGGAACGCTTAAACCGTTTCATCGAAAAGGGTGAGTTTTCCGGACCCCCCCCCCACAGAAGATGTGACGCCAACCAGGAAAGCCATAAAGCATACAAACGCGCACATGGAAAACGAAAAGAAACGAACACAAGGTTTAGGCAGTAGGTATGGATATCCCGGTTTTCACTTTTCGCATGGCTGAGCAAGCTAGCGAACATTTACTCATATATGTATATAGGCATACATATACACATACACACATGTATATAAAAAATATGTGTGTGTACATGAGTAAATCTATATATATATATGCATGAGTATACATGTATATACTTCCAGGATTCATGCATTTGCAATTTGGGTGGCAGCTCCAAAGGACGGCGGCAAGCAAAGGCAGCAGCAGAAGGCAAGCAGCCGGCTGCAAAATTTCGGCAAATCGCAGTATGAAGCGGGTGTTGTTAAGCAATTGCACAGATTGCACATCAGAAGCAACGCTGGCCGTGTGGCTATAGAAGGCTGTGGGATTGAACACAAAGGGGGAACAACATGAAACAAACACACAGAATATTCGGACCGCTTCCATGTGTGCCACCGGGATACTGAGGGAGGGCCAGCGAGCCTTTGATTCGCCCTTAGGCTTCCACAGGGTCTCAGTGCACGGCAAGCTCCACCGGGTGTTGGCATCCCTACCCTTGAAGCATGGAATTGAGCAGCGCCCAACCAAAAAACATATGGGCCACGCCAATAGGTGGCTCTGCTATCTGGTTCTACGGTGAACAAAGTATGTCCAATGTAAACCCGTATGATGTTGGCAGGTTCTTGAAAATCATTTGGCAAAGCCCAAAAACCCCAAGGCAACAATACTTCGCAGTATCCCCAACACCTGAAACGTATGGGGTTCTCCGCGGAGCTTCACGGAGTGGTCTGGAGCAGCTCTGAGGTCGGCTTCTTAGAGTGGCTCGGGGCGGCTCCGGGCTGCAGTTCCGCAAGGGGTCTGGGGGCAATTTTCTGCTTCTGGCCCATGAACCAGCCTGAAAATGCAACATCAATGATGTCGCAAGACTTTGCAGGTAAGTGCACGTATCCCCAAATTTGGAAGGAGTGTAGCTCTCACAAACACGGATTTCTGCCCCTAGCTGGAGAAGCACAAAGCTGCTCTTTGCGCCGCAAAAATGAATACTACGACGTGCGGCAGTAAAAATGGACATTTGCAATTATCGCATTTTGGGCATAGGCTACTATTCCTGGCCAGCCAGCGCATTACACCCCTCAAAATAAGCACCTTGCCAATATAGTTTTCAGCGCTAACATTGGAATGCCCTTGGTCTACGTGGGCTAGTCTAGATTTAAACTTTAACAAAGACACCAATCTTGGGGTTCCCTGACTTTGAGACAAACCCGCACAGCTTCATTTTCCCATTGACGCACACCCCTCTCCCTGGCCCACACATGGCTGCACCGCCGTAAGGAGCCTTCCCAGCACGTCGGCAACCAGCTCCTGCTTTTGGGCTCCCTGAAGCCGGAATCCCATACGGACAAACATGTTTTTGCCTTTACACAAGGACAAGCAAACACGGCAGCCGAAAACTGGAGCAACCAAGCAGTCTTCCCACGAAGGGCCACTGGCCATGTTTGCTTCAATGGAATCATGAAGCCCGGCAAATTGTTTTTTGGTAGGAAATGCAACGCCACCAGCCACCATCTGGAATCCTAGGTTCCCACAATTAGTCAGACAACAAGCAAGCATGAGGAGTCATGCCACCCAAAAGCCGTAAGCCCCAAACTGCCCCCGCCCCTCTGCCCAGCTGCAACTCGTCCAAGAAGAAGGCATCTGGCTTCACCGGCAGCTTCAGTGTCCCAAAGTTCTGGCCAAGCATGGCGAGGACAAGCTGAAACGACTCCCTCTTTCCGCAACGTCGCCCTTCGAGCCATTAACCTGCGGATCGTGTCTGTCCCCTCTGAATTTCCAACCTTTTGGAATCTCCTCAAAGTCGCCTTGCCGTCTTTCCTGAATCCCCCTGCCAAAACTCCAACAACAATTTGGATTCGGAGGAAGCATCTCAGCGAACAGAAGTGCCAACACCAATGAGTCAGCAGCGACTTGCGCAAACTATGTGAATCCGCTGCCTGGGAAATGTTCCGCCCCGCACCTAGGATGTGAGCCCTTTTTCCACCATCGTTTCAGTGAAGGGCAAGGGCGCAACTTGGTACCAAACGCTGACCCAAACGAACCCCGAAAAAAAGGAACCCCGTGAAAAGGTGGTTTCAGCGTGGTCGGGGGGGTGCTTATCATTTGCCGTGGGCCACAACGCTGTGTTTCCTCCATGGGTTCTGCCCACTGACCTAGGAACGCGCTACAACTTGTGGTGCTTTGCAAAAGTGCTGGCAGCTGGCACGCAGTACCACCACGCTTCCCAACAGCCGCAACCACAAGCACAAGCACAAGCACAACAACCATAACAACAACAACTAACCAGCGACCACCAACAACCACCCCAGGCCAGCTGAGTCACAATCAAACCTTGAAAATGGCCCACCTAGAATCTATAAAGTGGGCGGCTGTACCTATGGCTGGGACCGTCCCTGAATAACCTTCACCAACCTGGGTTTCATTCTTTGCCTGGCATTGGCTGGGCGCAGAGCAGCAGAGCAGCAGAGCTCCAGGGTTTTTCGGCAGCAATGCGTCACACAAGAGATTGCTCACCCCAAGGACCTGGCAATGAAAGATTGGCCTTGCAAACAAAAGCAAAAGGGAAGCTGCAAGGCGATCTCCGCTTGAAAAAGCTTGTCAAGTGAGTAGAACTTGACGAAGACTTGCCTGGCGCCGCGTATGAAGCAGAACGGCTCATCCTCATGGAGGGCGAAGTTGCCAGGTGGCAGTTCGAACGCATGGAATCCCACAATTCATCCTTCCTCTATAGTACCCGAAGATGCGGATCTCGATCGTCTTGACTTACCCAGTGTACACCAACTAAACAGATTCATACTTCATTCCATTGTTATATTCAACCCTAAACTATATGTATATATAAAGTATCGGGGGCGACCCCAGCAAGTACTCCCATTCACCAGCCTGACTAAATTCATATCCAACGGACCTTCGTGGAAGGCGTTCGTTTTGCTGAGCAATTCGGCACCGACCAGCAAAGAAAAACCACCGGATCCCCGTCCATCCCGGCGAACATGGGATTCGCTCGCGAGGCCTTTCGAAAGGCGCCGTCGAAGCCGCAGCGGTCGCCGCCAAGGCTTGCCACAAGATGCCAGCGCTTGGGCCAGATCCATCCAAAAACACAGAGCTCCCGCATTCCTGCAACAATCAGCCCAGACAAAAAGAGTCGCGAATTATTGGTCACTTAGCTGGTGCTGGATGGCGCTTTGGCAAATCTTGTGGCCTTCAGAATCTAACAAAGAATTCGCACGCGGAAGCGTCAAACAGAAAGGAACGTTGCTGCTGGTCGCCGCTTCACCACCACGTACCGACCCTGCAGCTGGGGCTTTGCGCCCCTAGCCGGCCAAAGCTTGTGCAAAACAGTACTTGCAATTTGCAGGGTTCGCGATATACACATATAACTGCCTGTTTATGCAACTTCCGCTTGATCGAATTCGAGCATTGCGCGCCTCCGGATCATGGCGAACCGATCTATTGGTGCCAAGACCGGCAATCTTTAGCGGGCATTTGAGAAGGTGGCACACCACATGAGCAGCCTCACTCGCAGCGCCGAAACGAGCGCTGGACGAATAACAATCAAAGCAAATTGCAATTGCGAACTCATCTTCGTTGACCCTCAAATGACATAGAATCATTTGGTGCTTTTTGTTTCTTAGGTGGTTCGTAGAAATACTTGGCGAGTCATGTGCTTCTGGGGATAACTCGTCGTTCTGTCCAATAAACAGGCGTTTGTGTCGAGAGAAGGGCGTCGTTGTCACTGCTGATGATGCCAATGTGCATAGATGATTATGCTCGTGCTCAAAAAGCTCCCCAACAACACACAAATACAAGTTTTCGGGATCTGTGGGCGTTTGCGGGCACCTGCAGCATGCACTGGCGGGCCCCACAAAGCCTTGGAAGCAGTAACTCGTAGATGGCTTTGTATGGCAGGCTACGCGCAGCTGCTTTCCTTTCCAGCACCCAAACTCCATTGGTTGCGAGCAACCCATGCAATCCTAAGCTTTTTTTCTCGTTGAAGCAAAATGATCTTTGCTGTTTGAGGGTCCAGGTTAGCGTTGATTCTCTCTGGTGTCTCTGGTCCCAGGTGTCCTGGTGGCCCAGCATCTGACCTAAAATAATAGAAACAGGTGGATCCAAAAAGGACCCCCACCCCCAAGACCCCTATCAGGCGTTCTGGCTTACTCACTTGTCTGAAAAAACCAAAGAAATAAGAGCTTAACCTTTTGGGGCCATGACCAAAAACCGGGTGCGCCTTACATTACCCTGGTGGCTTCAAAAACCGACAGAGCCCTAAGGGGGAATCCCTGTAAGCGAGTAGGGGAGGGGGGTCCGAGCTTGGGTTGTCATGAGACCGGTTTATCCTCTAGTTATGACTTGCCCCAGTTTTGCCCCACGCGGTTCATACTTGGGTTGAGATAGCGATGTTAGCTAAAATGCTCTTTCGCGAGCCACCGTCCTCTAGAATCCCAGTGAAATTAAAATTGTTCGCTTGGCGCATGTTATGGGCCAAGCGAAGCGCGCATGGTAAACAATTCAGAATCTTGCTGGTCTCGCCTGGCGATCTTTTCATAATGAACTCAAGCTTGTCAAAGCTTGCTCTTTTACAGGGTGACAAATGGGTGCCATTCGCATGCGCAAAACAGGTGTTTGGTAGTTCTGTACTTGTTCCCCTCTAAAGGAGCAGCTTTCAGGACAACCCTGATCTCGGGGCAACTGCCATCAGATCCCCCGAGCGTGAGATCCATCCAGCCGCACTTCGCACTTGTGATTCAGTGATGCCAAGGAAGGACGCCGAGTGCGTGGAACCCCTGCAATGGGCCATGCTCGAAGTGCCCATTAGAATGGGCTGTCTGGTACTCAAAGCCAAATTCCTCAGCAACATGGCCTCGTTATCACAAAGACAACCCTCACATTACCCTGTTGGCCAATTGTCACATTCAGTCCGCTTGTCTAAACCATCGTTGCTTGGTGAAATTGAAACCCAGTGCAGTAATTGCCTCCTTAGATTCCTGCAGCGCTAGCAATCAACGTTCCCTTGATGAGTGCCAGAAGAAACTGGGTTAGGCACAACTGCCTCAGCCACTCTGGGTGGGATATGGAGAAAATCAAGCATTGTCGTTCCTTTGGTGACTGTTTCAAGTAAGGTCGAGACCTGTTTTAAAGGTACTGCGTATTTGGCTTCCAATTGCCTGTTCCAACCATGGACACAAGCAGGCATGGATCCATTGGGCCACCGGGTTTTGGTCACACTCGCCGCCACCTACTCTTTGACTACTGACTCCATTGGTCCGCAGTTTCTGTGACAGGTCATGCTGCCATGAACAAAGACTGGGGCCACTGGTTCAAAAACCAAGAAATCCTGGATGCACTGCTCAGTTCAAAACATCTGTCAAAGTCTGCTGCAGTTTGAACCCATGCCCGACTCCGTTTCGATAGGCTTGCTTGGATGGTCCTGAGTTGGATTCAAAAATCACATACCGCGCCGTCGAAGCAAGGACCAGCTTGATTGGGCTGATGCCGCATGCCGGCATTGTCCTTTCATGAGCTAATCCAGCAATGGAGGGCCTATGAAGGGAAAACAAACACGCTGGCCTATGTCCCTTCCCAGCCCAGGGCGCTTTGCAGCCGGGCCCCGTTTCAAACAAAGAGAAGCACAGAAGTAACAAAACCAAAACACGTGAACCGAGAAAAGTGGAGTTCTGCCAAAAGGCGTTCCTGTGCGAGCCGCTGAGCCTGACATCTTCCTGCGAGTCAGGCCTCTGCGAATCAACGGCAAGCCCGGCCGGACAAACTGACCATGAACTTTACTTTGAAAACTGCCGCCAAAATGATAAGACGGATTCCACGGCGCCGCTCTGCCTGGACCGACTTGGGCTGCGATGCCTCGCCTCCGGCGAAAAGTTTCTGCGCTTCTCGCGCACGGCTTGGGTTAAGTTGACCGGCGCGCTGCGCACGTCCTCGAGGAATGCGGCGAGCTTCTCCTCCCCGTACTCATGGAGCAAGCGATTTGGCTGCAAAGGCATGTCCTGAGCTCATGCACTCCCCATACGACAACTCCCAGATCTCATTCCAGCCTCGGCCATTGCAGAGAAAATCATGCGCTCTGACTCTGTTCCATATTTAGTCTACCCCACAGAATAGATGTAGCACTTGCAGTTCCAAGCGAAACACAAACGTGTTGCGCTTCCCGTTGCTCTGTCTGCCCAGGCCAAAGATAGGAAGTTGAAATGACGCTTGAAAACCCTTGATGCCTACAACCCGCTTCACATTCACACTGCAGGATGCCCGTCAACCCAAGCCCTAACACCTTAAAACCTCAAAGCCAAACCTTTGACTTGTACCCTGATGCTCATTATTTCCTGACACCTCAAATGCGGGTGAAGCAACACCTTAGTTGCTAAAGCCTCAACATCAACACACAACAACACAAACCCAAATCGTCTTTCAAGCATTCGTCTTGGCCTAGTTTGCGACGCAATGTGACCGCCACCTTCAACGGGCCAAAGGCGGTGATTTCAGCAGCACCAAGTCAAGAAGCGCGCCCAAATACCTGCAGTGCTTCTACAAACTAGGCCCAGCTTGCTAACGCGTGCTTGGGCCAGTCCAACAGAACTGCAGTGAAGCGAGCGCGGACCGTGTGCAATGTAGCGGGTGGGCGTCGAGCATGAAATCGCTGGAGATGAGCAAAAAGTCGGCCAGTAGCAATTG